CGCGATCCTGGTTAGCAATCTGAAGAGAGAGAGAGAGAGAGAGAGAGAGAGAGAGAGAGAGAGAGAGAGAGAGAGAGATTGATGGCGCGCGGCGGCGGCGGCGGAGTCGAGTTTCGGCCGCCTCCTGAGATGGCGATGGAAGAGATGGATCGGCAGCCTGTTGTTGTTTCCGAAGCAAGAATCCTGAGGATGGAGATTGCGTCCCTGGTGAACTTGCTCATCGAGAAACAATCTGACGTTCTTTCCTACGATCCCGAGATCGTGAGGAAGATCACGTCCCTGAGGAGCGAGATCGCGTGCCAGAAGCTGGCGAGGGAGCGCAAACCCTTGGTTACGGAGGTCAAACGCACAGTGCCGCGGAGGCGCAAAAAGTTTTATGCAGTGCAGAGGGTCGCTGAGAAGGAGATCATGGCCGATCAGGAGAGCGTGGATCTGCCTAACTCCGATACGCATAGTGTGACCTCCCAAGTCAGTTGCATCTCCGAGCAGTTGCCCGAGCCCTGCGACTAGAAGGAGATCGACTCGGAGAATAACAAATCAGCTTCCAGATTCAAATCCAACTTCGAGCATGTATATTCACCCTACGGTATTGAGGATGAGGGAGTGCGCCTAAACCGCCAATTCAGTCATATATTGCCGCAGGCGGATGCCTTGTGTGACGAGATGGCATCTATAGCATCTATTCTGAGGAAAATCAGTGTCCCCATCATCTCCTATTACGATGTCTCTGATCTGTGTAACACAGCGCAGAGTTTATCGAGGATCTCCAATAGTATATTGTATAATAGCATGAGTGCTGATAAACAGATGGCGGTCCAATATGCTGAGGACCAGAGGACCAAGGAGGAGATGACCGATCAGATGGGCAAAGGCAAATCCAGCACCCACTTTCTTGAGAAGCAGAGGACCGAGGAAGGGGAAAATTTTGTTTTTGCCACTCTAGATTTTGCCAATTTTCCTTATGCCACTCTAGATTTTGCCAATTTTCCTTATGCCACTCTAGATTTTGACATTTCATTTTTGCCACTCTTAGTTTTTGACAATTATCACAATTGCCATTCCCGTGGCAAAAGCAAAATTTTCAGAGTGGCAATTGTGATAATTATCAAAAGCTAAGAGTGGCAAAAATGAAATAAAATTAATTTGATTTTGCCACAAAATGGCAATTGTGATAATTGTCAAAAACAAAGAGTGGCAAAAGTAAAATGTGAAAATCTAGAGTGGCATAAGGAAAATTGGCAAAATCTAGAGTGACAAAAACAAAATTTTCCCCTTCACTAATTGATTTGCCTTTGTCCATCATCCTCGACTCATGCGTCTCGGCGCTTGATTGGCCATCATCCATGTACGCAGTCATCTGGTTGGAAAGGCAACTTATCACATCTGATCCCACAAAATGGTCACCCTCATCATCTGTCAACTGGCCATCATCAGCGGTATGGTCAGTCAAATCTGTTATAGATACATCCACCTCTTCCTCAGGCAAGTCAAGCATGGAGACACATGTGTCGAGGATGTTGGATATGATGGTGCTGGTTTCTGATGATAAGAGTGAGTCGGACGGTATGACCAACTTGTGCAAATATTACAAGATCCTTGAATTTGAGGATGAGAAGGTGTTGGGCAAGATGACTGCTGAGAATTTAAGGATGTATTACAAATTTCGTACGGAGCTATTAAAGATGGAAGCCAGCTTATGCGAGTTCCGGGAGCAGAATGAAAAGGATGACCTGAGGTGGGAGCAGGATAAAAAGGACGCACTGAGCTGTTGCAGAACAGACCCGACCCCCTTCTCACTTCAGGACGCAGTAGGGGAGGAGGGGGAGGAGGAGGAGGTGACAGAATTCACAGAATCAGACAAAGAGGAGATGGAGATGGAGGACAGGTTGTTTTCTGGAAAACGTGAAGTCTGGGAATCCGCATGGGGATGCTATGGTGAATTTGAAGACAGTAGTAAGTAAACATGAACATCCATCGAATCATTCTCCTCTTATTTGGCAACCAGATTCTTCCCTTCCTTTTTTCCTTGTACAAGTAATTCATGTTAGAACATGTCTAACACTTGGATTAATTTGGTGTCGCAGCCGCAGTGAGTCCTATGCACTTTACACATTGCACGCCGGGACTGATCCCGTACGCCGCTCGCTCTGTGAGCACCTTGCAGATCTACTCCTTGAAGATTGTTGGAACAGATGGAAAGTTGAAGTTACCACTCCATGTGTATGGTGTTGTTGCTGCCCGAGACACCGTGGACTGCAACCGCAACATTCTCTTCTTTAGGCGAAGGGAAGACTGTCAAAAACTCACTCCAGAGGTATGTACCGTATTCCAAATTTCTCTCTGTTTTCCATTTTTGTTCTTGCATGTGTCCTTGTTCATTCCATTCAGCGACAATGATGACTATGATCCTTGCAGGATCCATTTTTGCACTTGACTGGCCCGTCCCGTGCCATCGTGGCTGTGGACCATGTTGACTTCGAAGTCCAACTGAAAGTAAAGGGTGCAACAAGGTACAGCGACAAAGCATTGATCAGTCATTGCTGCACTTATTCTGGTGGTTATCATGAAGGTTTAGATACCGCTCTCATCAGCAACTACTTTTGCACGGTAGAGTTAAGCTTGGAGCGACTCACAAAGACAGTCCAGGCTACCATCTTAAGTGTCCGTGTTGTTGAAGGGGGACCTTGGCCTTTTGAATATGGTGGTCGGATTGTGTGCTCCTCACCACCACAGGAAGTTATGGACTCCCTGGCCAGGCAAGTTGTGTTGGTTGATTCTCGTTCTTCTGATGGTGGAGAAATGCCAATGGGCACAGATGGCTACCTTGATCTGTCAAGGCATGTTGTTTCTGTAGAACTGGAAGAAAGCCTGCAATTTGTTATACAAGCCTACTCGCAGTCTGGTGATGCTATTGCTAGACAAGGTCATGTCAAGTTCAGGGCCGAATATTGCAATGTAAGTCGAGGTATATGTGAGATTGGTGACTCTAAGGTGGAGATTACTGTTGCTTGGTCCAAACTTGTTACCAAAAGGATGGATATCCTCTTAGAAGGACATGTTTGATGGTTCTTGTGCATTGGAGGTTATGGACTACAGAACCCGTTACCCAAATTTATCTGTTTGTCCCTTGCATGTGGTTTGTGAAACTGCAGAACTATTTTTGTATTGATATGTCCAACTATTTGTGTTTCTGACTATCTGTGTCCACTTCAACTTCTTATTATGCTATGTGAAGTACTAATTCTGTTTCGATAATCAGCATTAATCCTTTGCAGAAAGCCTAGATTTTGTGAGCCAGCTGCAAGTAAAATGGTCTGCATCGTCAAATCTCTGGTTAGAGCAACTCCAACAAATCCCGTATCTGTAAAATAACAGAAAAAACATCTCCAACAAATCATGTATCTCTAAAATAACAAAAAAAAATCTCCAATAAATCCCGTAAACATGGAATAAATTTCCAGGGTCACGACGCCACCGCCGCCTGTGCTGCGCCGCACAGCCTTGTCACGCCACCGCCGTCGCCTTGCCGCCCCCATGACCATGATGTGTCTTGCCGGCTGCCACCGACTACCTCGCGCCTCCCTTGCCGGAGGCTGTCGTGCGTGTCACTGACTGGGGAGCCCCAGGCCATTACCTAGTTTTGTTTTATGAAAATTAAAAATGAAAACCTATTTTAGGGGAAGAGGTTTATGGGATCTGACAAAGTAGCTATCATGAAACTTTCCTTAAAATTTACGAACATCCTCTAAAACTAGTAGTTCGGGAAGTTTCTTAGAGGAACCGAGCTGCTCTAAGAGCAACTTCAATAGATCCCATGTTCAAAAAAAAACTACATTTAGGGGAAGTTTGGGAAAAAACAAACGTCCACAACAGAACCTGTAAACCCGGAATATATTTAGGATCCTATAAAGTCGACCGGCCCCAAGTTCCCTCTTGTTTAGGAAGATGACCTTCCCCTAAAACGTTGGTGGGCTAAAAAAACCTGACACTTCACCGTGCATTCCCCCACGCCGTCACCGCTCCGCCTCAGCACCTGCCCACCACCATTGCCGCCTTGCCACCCTCGCGATGTTGCTGCCACCTCGCGTCACTACCACCGCGCCACCACTGACTTTCGGGCCCTAGGCTATCAGATGCGTCAAAGTTCTGGCCTGTTGGTCCCAATCGATTCATTGTTCGGGCGTTTTGCCTTGGAGACAAGGAACGCATAAGGATGCAGGCCTTGGCTATTCCACAACTAGGTAGTCTTGTTGTGCCCATATGATGCGGATAAAAAATGCTCCACTTATGGACCGCACTTACGGAAACTCTCCTACGGACAGACTTGGCAGAGTCTAATTCATCAGCAACCCCTGGATTTCAGGTGTGGGGCCCTCCTGTCCCTAATCTAATAATGCCACTTCCATCCGTAGAAAAATGACTGTAAGTGTAACATTGCCCATGACGGGTTTAGCAGAGATGAGGACGTTGATTTTGTTCATATGCCTATATGGCTACAAATCCATAAGTTGCCAGATTTTTAATACAAGAAGAACATTGTGGAGAAACTTTTTTTGAAGTGGAGGCAAAAGCTTTGACTCATCTCATTAATAAAGAAGAAGAGAATTGTCCTGTTAATTAACGCAAAACCGAACAAAAACGGCACAAACACCCTCTCCGGCAGGAACACGACAACCTCGAGGGAATACCAGCCAACCTGGCTACCAACACAAGGCGCACACACACCACCAAAGAGAGAGCCGCAATCAAGGTTGTCCACCAGGGTCATCGTCATCACTTCTCCTTGAGCCAGCGACTCTGACTTCACCGAAGAAAGCCTGGTCGCAGTGGCTTTGCGAACCCACACCGGCACATGCCAAACAGTTGACTCTTCGCGTAGAGGACTGTCAGCTCCGATTCCGATGACGAGATCTGAAGAAGATATATGCAAAGCTCGCGCAGATGAAGATCTTCATGACAGGACCGCCCAACGCAGGTCATCCTTGCCACACAATACACGGCAGCTCCGACTTCCAGCAACGCAAGACCAACACAAAGACCCGTCGGACATGCTGGAACAAGCGCCGACTACCAAGTTCTTGCCATGACCAAACCATCACTCTTCATCGCCATTGTTGTCGCGCAAGACATCACACGGGATCCACTCATCTCCGGTTGGACACCTACCAGTCGCGACACCGTGTGCGTCCAGCCCACCAAGAAACGTGGATGGGAGCAAGATTTTCAAGGCAACGCCCCAAAGGAGGAAGATGACGTGAGAACGACGCCTGTCGGTTGACTGGACTGGTCTAGGATTTCCCTCGAAAAGCTTGCCCTAAGGATGGGAGAGGTCGAAGAATACTCCGTGGCGATGCCTCCAAGGAGGAGAGCGACGCCACAGTCATCGCCGCCGCTGTCCGGCAAGAGTCAGGCAAGCTTTCACTTGGAGACTTTTGGACCACCATCCCCATGCCACCGACGCGAGCCGGCCCACACTTCCATTGGCCTGCACACTCCCGATGCGGTGACCGCACCATCACCACGCCGAGGCCACCGCCTACCTCATAGTTGACCAACACTGACGAGCTAGATCTGGCGACCACATCTAGCCATGATGTAGGGCTTCAAGACGCCACCGTCTGGAGGATCAACCGCCACCAAAACTTGAAGGGGAGGCCGCCACCCATCCCATCACAGCGGAGGAAAGACCGCCAACCAAAGCCTGCACTGCTTTCCTCTGCGGCCGCCCCAACGCGCGCGGGAGCAAAAGCTTCCCGTCTTGTGGAGAAACTTCTGAAAGGTGCATGTGAGATCATGGATATGCGTTTGAATGGCAATACCAGGGGAGACTATATTCACGTAAGGGTGAAACATGATATACATATGCCCTTGACAAAATATGTAAGCATTGTCGGAGGTAAAGAACAACAACTATATCTTGTCCGCTATGAGAAGCTCGCGAGGTACTGTAAGATTTGCGGCCTAGTAGGTCATGAGTTCAAGGAGTGTGGGCTCGGAATCCATGCGGAGAAAAATATAAAGTTCGGTGATTGGTTGCAGATGCTCCTAACAAACCTAGGGCAAACAATGATGGTAGGCCGAAGGACACACATGTTGGTACACATGCTAAGGATTATATCAGTAATCGATGAAGGAGGGGATGGACCCTGAAATAATGGATATAGCTTCGAGCCCAGTGAAAATTCCAGGTAGTAGTGTGGCAACGGAAAAGGACTCTATAAAGCATTTGAATATGGATGCGGTGGAGGCGAACACGAGAGCCTTTTGTGCACCAAAAGTCATGCTATAACTGATGGGACTGGGAAGGATTAGAAACAGAACAATTCTCCAACTAGCAGTAAAAGCAGTAAAAGGGTGAAAGTTACCAAGGAAAGTGGAAATGATGATATATAGGCGACCTCTCTTGGAGAGAACCGCCGGATGCAATGAATATCCCGTTGTGGAACTATGGTGCACGCGGGGTGGGGGTGGGGTGGGGTGGGGGTGCAGTTTGTGAGGTATTGTCCCTCTCTAAATCCAACAACCCCAAGTTTGTCTTTCTTTGTGAAACTAGACAAGCTTCAGATAAAGTTGAGAAGTTAAGATGGATACTAGGTGTGAAAGGTTTCCATGCAGTGAGTAGTGACGAAAGAAGTGGAGGTTTGGCACTTTTCTGGGATGAGTCTTTATTAGTGACTATACTTGATGCGTGCAACAGGTACATTGATGTTAATATTCTAGATGGTGGATCTGGTATTTCTTGGAGGGGAACCTTTGTGCATGGGGAACCAAGAGTTGAAAATAGATAGCATATGTGCACTACTGCAGGATGCTGCTAATGCGACAATACAATCAGAGACCCTTCGACGAAACTGTGTCTGATGCATTAATCACAAACGGTGGTGTAAAAAACCCATAAAAAATGATACAAACTGTTTGCGATGGCGGAGACATCAAAAACGATTCAGATTAGAGTTACGTGTGCGGTACATGGCATACAGTTCATCCATACAAACTGTTTGCGATGAGCAGAACAATAGAAACAGTCAGCCAAATGAAGGTGTGTGTGATATACATCATACAGTTCACTCGGATAAACTGTTTGTGATTAGGAAGCACAATAGAAACCGTCAGCCAGATTAAGGTGTGTGCGATAGACGACATACAGTTTACTCAGATGAACTGTTTGCATGAGCCAAGACAATAGAAATAGTTCGACTTAACAAGATGTGTGTGATACTGATAACCCTCAAGTATCGGGGATCAATTGTAGAATTTCTCGATAAGTAAGAGTGTCCATCCCAACGAGGAGCTAAAGGTAGGATTTATATTCTCTCAAGTTCTATCGACCACCGATACAACTCTATGCACACTTAACGTTCGCTTTACCTAGAACAATAATAAAACTAAAAGTACTTTGTAGGTGCAGTGGGATAGGTTTGCAAGAATAAAACTAGATGTACTTAGCAAGAATAAAACTACGAGTAAATTGCAAGATAATAAAGTTAGTTGTTTAGTAGAGAGTTTTTTGTCACAAGAAAGTTATTTATCCCTAGGTTATCGATAACTCGATCAATAATCATTGTTGCAATTTTATACGAGGGAGAGGCATGAGCTAACATACTTTCTCTACTTGGATCATATGCACTTATGATTGGAACTCTAGCAAGCATCCGCAACTACTAAAGATCATTAAGGTAAAACCCAACCATAGCATTATAGTATCAAGTCCTCTTTACTCCCATATACAACAACCCACTTACTCGGGTGGAAGCTTCACTCTAGCCACCAACCATAAGCGAATCATTAACTTTTGCAACACCCTACAACGGGAATCCCTCACGCTTGTGCGACATGGAGAGCACCATAGGACATCACCAAATAAAACATACAACTCAAACCAATCATGATCATCAATTAACCCATAGGACAAAATGGATCTACTCAAACATCATAGGATAGCCACATATCATTGGATAATACTACATAGCGTTGAGCACCATGTTTAAGTAGAGATTACAACAGGGAGAAGAGGTGTTACACCGCTGCATAGAGGGGGAGAAAGTTGGTGTTGACGGTAGCGA